GAAAGCCCCTTCCAGGAGGCACCAGCGGAGGGGACCCCACCAAGCAGCACTGAGGCTTCCTGCCAGGAGGCCTGGGGAAGCAGCTCTGGTCCCCACCAAGGCCACCACCCCACCCCCCGGAAGCCCAGGGTGTGAAATGAGACTGCCTCTTTGGAGGCCCCTCATTCAACCAGACCCAGTTCCTATGGCAGCAGCTGGGAAGCCGGGTTCTCACCCACCTTGTGCAGGTGTTCCAAAGCCAGCACGATCTCACCCCCATACACGCGCACCTCGGCCTCCTTGAAGTACTGGCGCTGGTAGAGGTGGGTGAACATCTCACCGCCACTCACGTAGTCTGAAGGTGCACTTGGTGGTTAGACTCGGCCCCCTCAGGTGGCCTCACCGGCCCCCATTCCCCCAAGTTGGCATGTGGCCGTGCCCTCACCCAGAATGAGGTGCAGCTTGGCATCGGTTTGGAAGGCGTAGTGCAGCGTGACCAGGAAGGGCGCCTGGCGCACCAGCTCCAACACAGAGCGCTCGGTGCGCGTGTGCTCCTGCGTCTTGGCGCGCTGTACCAGCGCCGCCTTCCGCAGCACCTTCATGGCATACAGCTTCCCCGCGTCGTGCCCGCCCGCCTTTCGCACCAGGAACACCTTCCCGTAGGCTGTGGGAGCAGCGAGTGGGTGGAGGGTGGGCTGTGAGTGGGAGGGCGGTGCAGACTGGTGGGAATGGGGGTGATGCCAACCCAGAAGGGTGTGCACGCTGCGGGTGAGAGACACGTGTGCCAAATGCTGGCAGCAGAGCCTTCTAAGGAAAAGGTGTGCACATCTCCGGAGGCTGCTCAGCAACACCGGAGAAGGGACATGCAAACCAGCCTGGGGCAAGAGCAACTCCAGGGGCTGGGGGTGGGGTGGGGCACATGCAAGCCTGCCAAGCTCAGAGGGAATGGAAAGGGATGCAAATGGAGGAAGGGCAGCAGAGGTGTACTCCTGGCCAGAGGAGGGATGGCACACCAAGATAAGGAGTTTGCAAAATATGGGCCGGTGCTGTCACAGAGGGGAGGAGCTGTGCAAATCACTTGGGATGGGTGCATGATCCCAGGGAGGCTGGCGAGTGGCAGCAGGGGGCATGCACACGCAGGATCTTGCAGGGAGTAATGATGTCAACGTGGAGCGCCCTAGAAGTGGGCATGAAACCCTGGCACAGTAGGGTGGGGCTGGCAGGGAGAGCTGTGCCGGGAAAGGGTGGGGGGCCTTCCCGGTGGCCTGGTCCAGGCCCAGGCGGGAGTGCGGGCTGGAGGCACAAGGCACTATGCCTGGGGCACCTGCACGGTGGCCAGGGTCCTCACCTCCCGTGCCCAGCACCTTGAGCAGCTCGAAGTTCTCCACGCTCACCTTCTCCTCGTGTCCGGTCAGGTTGGCTGCGGGCACAGGGGGCGAATGAGCCCAGCTAGCCCCTGGCCCCTCATCGCCTGCCCAGGGCAGCCACCACCAGGCCCCGCACCCACCTTCGATGATCTGCAGTTCTACCGCGCAGCCCTCGTCCTCATCCTCGTCCCCCATGGCGGGCGGGTCGCTGGGGCCCGCGCGGCTGGGGCTCCGGGCGGCGCCGGTTACATGGCGGCTCCCGCCGGGGCGGGCGCTTCCTGGTGCCGCCTCCGGGGCCGAGCGGGCGCCGGCACCGCCTCCCGGCTCCCCGCCCCGCTCGGCCTAAGTCAGGCGGCTGGAACGTGACAGCGCAGGGCTGCGGGTGGGCAGCCAGCGGAGGTGGCCCTGTGTCCCCAGCCGGGGGCAGGCGCTCCTGAGCCCCACTGGGGGAACTGAAATGGCCCAGTGTGGCTGCTGGGGCCTGGCCCCAAGCCAGGTGCTCATTCGGGATGCCCCCTGCAGCCAGTGGTGTCCAGAGCCCTGGAGGGGGCGGGTGCCCACACAACCTCCCTTCCACCAGCGCCAGCCCCGAGGGCAGACGAGCCACTCTGTCCAATTCTCTCCATACCCAGCAAGAGTGAGCCACTTAACAGGGGTCAACCCACCACCTCCACACCCTTTTTTTCTCTCCGTGCTGGGGATTGAACCCCAGGAAACTCAGCCACTGAAGTACATCTCCCACCCCCTTTATATTTTGTATCTTGAGACGGTTTCACGCATTTGCCCAGGGTGCACTTGAACTTGCCACCCTCCTGCCTCAGCCTTCTGGGTGGCTAGGGTTACAGGCCGGCAAGGATGCACTCAGAAGCTTCCCTTTTGGTCACTCCTTGACTGTTTACCCGAGAGACAAGCAGGCCGAGGCCAGCTGCTGCCTCACAGCCTCAGAGAGCTCCTGTCCCCCCAGAGGTCCTCTGGCTCTGGATGCCAGGAAGGCCAAGAGAGTGTTGGAACTGGGCCTCAGGAAGGAATACCTGGCTGGGGCATGACTCACTGGCCAGCACTCACCTGGCAGGCACGGGCCCTGGGTTCAGTCCCCAGCACCAAAGCCACACAGGGCAAGTCCCCTCTCCCATCAGGCCCAGAGCCCCTGGCTGGCCCGGCCTCCAGAGACCACCAAGCAGGGCTGGGCAGCCACAAGAGCCCCCAACCCTAAGACCTCCGGGAGGGGTCCCTCAGCTCTTCTGTCCCCTGGAGGGCAGCCGCCTGCCGGGACTCCACCCTCCCGTGGAGAGGAGGGAGGAGCCGAGCCTCCCAGCTAAACCTGCCCCAGGTCAGCCCCCAGCAGCCCCGCCTCCCGGGGGTGGCTCCAGGTACACTGACTCACATCCTGTCACCAGCCTAATTGCCTCCTTCTCAGGTGTCATCCTGGAGGTCCTGATCAGAGTCCCATGTCCCTCCCACCACTTGTGGCAGCTCCTGGTTATAGATGACACTCCACCTAGTGAGCTGTGAGCTACCCAAGAAAGGCCTCAACCCACAGGGGTGGGGGGAGATGAGGGGCCAGAAGACCTGAGGGGAGAGGAGGGTGCCCCGGGAGGGCGGGCAGGGCCACGGGAGCACTCGACCCTGCGGCCCAGAACCCGGGCCCAGGCCCCAGCCGCAGCTGGCTGCCCAGCACACCACCCCTCACACCCATGGGCACTTCCAGGCTTTGGCAAGCCCGACTGGCCACATCCCAGTGCCCTTTGCTGCCTTGTCCACCCAGGTCCCCACCAACCAGAAGGACTGGACCTAAAAGTGTTCCTGGAACCTCCAGCTCGTGGATGCAGCCCACAGACGGCACAGACTCGGATGGTCACAGCCCAGCTTTATTCTCATGTCCCCCCAGCCCAGGCTCAGAGATCGGCCCAGGTCACGGTCCCCGGGGAGTGGGCCTTGGCTCCCCGTCTGGACCTGGCAGGGGGTTCTCTTGCCCACTCCCGAGAGTCTCCTTCAGCTGAGGGATCCCCCAGAGACCGCCTCCTCAGTGATGACCGCAGGGCCGCACTCGGGGCCACTCGTGGGCCGTCCCCAATACCCACCAGCTTGTCCCAACCCCATCTAGGGGCTCCAGGGCAGGCCGTGGGGAATTCAGGGACCCAGGCCTCTTTGTGCAAAGACTGCCCTGGGGTGCCCTGGCCCCCAGAGCTCTGGGACGGTCCGGGAACCCCACTGACACTCCAGCGGCGAGTAGAGGGGTCTCGCGAGCTGACTGCCCCTGCGTTGTCACTGGCTGAGGGACGGGGTGAGGGGATGTTTCTCCGGCTCCGGCTCCTCAAGGCCTGGAAGAAAACGCTCAGCTCAGGCCTGCCTCCCTCGGGAGGATGCCCAGACTCCAGGGGACCACAGGGGCCCCGCACCCTCTGCCCTCCCTCGGTCTCCTCCAGACAGGCCGCACTAGCCAGCCCTGGAACGGGCCAGGCCTTCCTTCAAGCTGTACTCTTGCGAGTCCCCAAGCACACTGTCACCTCCAAGTCTGCTCCAACCTCTCCTCTCCGAGGCCACTGCATTCCTCATGGAAGCCACACGTGGCCTCTGGCACCCCCCATTTCTCCCATGCCCCACTTCCTTCCCTGAGCATTGTCACCTTGACATTCTGGGGCGACATGGTCTGAGGGGCTGGGGCGTGCATCCAAGGGAAATACCCTCTGGGCTTCAAAGACTCGGGAGGAGGAAATAATGTCAGTGTCTCACGGTGACCTTCTATAGGACTACATGTTGAGATGGCAACAGTCGGGCATATTGAGTTAAATAAGATCATGTTATTTTTTTATGATATTTACCTCTTCAGTTTTTAGGTGGACGCAGCATCTTTATTTCACATTTATGCGGTGCTGAGAGTCGAACCCAGTGCCTCACGCATGCTAGGCGAGCGCGCACCACTTGAGCCACATCCCCAGCCCCCAAGGAAATGTTATTAAAATTCATTCTACCTGTCTCTTTTTACAGGTGATGAAGCTATTAGAAAAGTAAAGACTGCTCATGTGGCTCCTATCCTTCCATTGGGCAGGACTGTTGTAGATAATAATGATTTTTTGGGGGGCAGATTGGCGGGGAGTGCCGGGGAATAACTCAGGGGCACTCGACCGCTGAGCCACATCCCCAGCCCTATTTTGTGTTTTATTTAGAGACAGGGTCTCACTGAGCTGCTTAGCACCTCTCCGTTGCTGAGGCTGGCTTTGAACTTGGCTGCGCCACCACACCTGGCTGATAACCATTTTCATGCATCTTGTTTCTGTCTGCCTTCCTACACCAGAAAGTCCCTTGCTATATCCGCAGTAGCACACCACCTGGCACTTTGTCATGGATCCTTGTCAGATGAGAAAATGAATGAATGAAGTCCATCTCCCAGGGGCCCCAGCGAGACAGACCCCCAATCCTTCCCCAGACCCCACTCACCCTCTCTGCTGGCGTCGGCTTCATGTTCCTGGAGTGTCTTATTGGGACCATCCCATTCCACGACGGGTCCTGGGGGACACAAGGCAGCCGCTGCGCCCATGGGGCCAAGACAGAGGACAGGAAAGAAGTCCCCTCTGCCAAGGCGGTGGGCACACAGGGAGTTGGGGGCTCACGGGGACAAGGACCTTTCCCCTCACCTTTGCCATGGGCACTGGGTGCTCCCAGGGGGCCTGGACGGCGCTGGCGGAATCGCTCCCGGGGGGTGTCCCCTGGGCTGAATGACTCGGAGCTTCGCCCCACAGGGAACCGCGAGCTGAGTTTCCGCCGCTGTCCCCCTGCCAGGGTCTCCTCACGCAGGCAGAGGGAGCTCTGGGCCCGGCGCATGGGTGCCGGTGAAGGGGACCCTGTGAAAGGCACAGCGGGGAGGTGTCAGGGAAGTGCAGGGGTGCCGGGCGCGCAGAGGCGGCCGTGGGTGAGGCTGCCCAGCACCAGGGAGACAGGCGACAGCGCAGAGCAGGGGACAGGCGGACGAGGTGGCCGCAGGAGGCCCCGGGCTGGCTTGGAGCTGACTCAGTGCCTCACCTTGGGCAAGGGACCTCCCTCCCTGGGCCTCAGTGTCCTCATGTGCTATCTAGGATAAATGACCTCTCTCTAAAAAGACCCTGCCACCGCAAGGTCCTAGGACGGGGTAGGACTGGGAGGGTGACAGCAGACAGGAGGAAGGGCCAGCAAGAGGGACCCCGAGAGCCCAGGACAAAAAGTGGCTGGAAGCATCTGGACAGGTGGGGGTGGGCAGCAGGGAAGGCCAGCGGGGACATGGGTACAGGCAGGCAGTAAGGCAGGCGCCATTAGGGGGACATGGGGTAGGGACCTCCTGGTCACCTGGCCCCCAGACCCACCTGGCCCATCCGCCTCCCTGCCCTCGGGGAGCTCCGTCTCCGGGGGGCCCCCCAGGCTCTCGGTGCTGCCAGCCCCATCGGCCCCCAGGCGTGGCCCCCCATGGGGGACCCCCTCCCTCCGGGGCCGCATCAGCCTCTTCACCTTGTCTGCCAGCCAGCTGCCCTTCCTGGGGGCAAGAGGGCACAAGAGGGCGTAAGGACGGGAGGCAGGAGGGAAGGCGGGTGGTCAGGGATGGCAAAGGCCAGGCTAACCCTCACTAGGGCCTGCCCCTGAGCTGGGCCAGGGGTTGGAGGACAGGGCAGGCAGGGGCCCAGGTGGCAGGATCCCAGCCCCAGGGAGGCGAGGGGGCCTCACTTGGTCCGGGGCAGGGGCCCAGGCTCTAGCACGCGGTACTGGTCCATGATCTTCTCCACCAGCTTCTGCTTCTCCCGACGCAGGGCATTAAGCTGGTCCCTGGGAGGAGTGGGGGGCGGGGGGATGAGGCCCTGGAAGGCCCAGGTAGGAGCTAAGCGCAGTGGAAGGTGCCCGCGTGCGAGTGTGCTGGTGAGACTAAGCCTGGGCGCTGGGTCTGGCGCTTTTCCTGGGACCTCCCGGGCCCCCCATGAAGCCCCCCAGGAGTGCCGCGTGCCGCCAGCGCCTGCTCACAGGTACTCCCGCTGCTCGCGGTGCAGGTGGTCCCGGCTCTCCAGGCTGCGCTCCAGGAGCTCCCTGTTCTCCCGGCTCAGGGCCTGCACCTCGGCCAGCAGCTGCCGGTTCTCCTCTTCCTGGGCACTCCGGAGCTCGGTCAGCAGCTGGCAGGTGGTGGCACTGGTCAGGAATGACTGTGGTGCAGGGCGGCCTGGTGGGCCCTCCCAGCCACCCTGCAGGCCGGCCACCCAGGGCCGCTGCCACCGCCCACCACACCTCACATTGCGTGGTCAGCCGGCAGGCGCTCAGGTCCAGCTGCTGGTTGGACTCGCGCAGCTGCTGGCTCTGCATCTCCAGCTGCGCCCGCTCCAGCTCCAGCCGGGCCAGACGACCCCGCAGCTCCCCACGCTCGCCCTGCAGCTCCCCTCGCTCCCGGGACACCTCTGCCAGCAGCATCTGGGCTCTTTGGAGGCAAAGAGAGCTGCTTTCCAAGGGCCAGAGGGTCCAGGCTGGGAAGAGGCAAAGCAGGCCCACGGGGACAGTGACCACCACACCGGGGACCACTTCACAGAGGGGAACCCTGAGCCCACGTGGGCTGGTACCTCTCATGCTCACTCTGCAGCCTCCGCAGCTCTTCCTCCAGGCCCCGCTGTCGATGGCCATCCTGCATGAGGCGGTCACGCTCCGCCTGCAGGGCCATCTCCTGAGCCTCCACATTGGCCCTCTGGGCCTGCAGCTGTTCATGCCTGAATGGACAAGGGACTGAGAGGACTGTGGAGCCCTGGGGCCATGGCAAGTGGGTGCTGACTTGTCTTGACCTGGGGTCTGTCGTCTCCCAAGCATTGGTAACCAGATAAAGCCACAGGGCACGATGACATTTGGGGGTGCCACCACTCCTAGCAGAGGAGCCCAGCCATGTGGGAAGCCCATGCCCCCAAGAGGGCATAGCAGCAGCTAAGGACATCAGAGGACGAAGGTGGGGTACAGGTGTGCCTTCCTGGTGGGTCAGACCTGCCAGGAACTTGCTCTGGGTAAGGGGTGGGGGAGCTGGAGGGAGGAGCCACGTCCTTGGGGGTGCGCACCGGCCCTGCAGCTCCCGGTGGGCCAGCTCCAGCGCCCGCATGTTGGCCTTGAGGTCTCGGTGCCGTGCCAGCAATCCCTCCAGCTCTGTCTCCTGCCGCCGCTGCAGCTCTGCCAGCGCCTCATGGTCCCGCAGCAGAGCCTGCTGCTGCCCGCGGGTCTCTTCCTGGGACCGCCGCGCCTCCCGCACCTCTTCCTCCAGCACCCCCAGCTTCCTGTGCAGCTCCTGGCCCTGCATTGCCAGCATTGACTTCTCGGCCTAGGACCAAGGAAGGAAGGAGCCTTGTGGTGGAACTCCAGGCCTAGTAGGGGGTACAGGAAAGGGGCCAAGGGCAGAGGACTGGGGGGGGGACAGCTGAAGGCCAACTGAAGAGGTTAATGGGCCAGAAGAGGACAAAGGCATCCTGGGGACTGGGTGGCGCCAGATTGTGCAGGGGAGGGCAAGAGGCCCAGGCAGAGATGGGATAGAGGGGGTCCAGCGTAGGCCACAGGGGAAGGAGTGAGGATAAGGGCTGGCTGCAGAGGAGAGGGTAGAGATGGGAAACGACAGGGTGAACCGGGTGCAGCTGTCGGGGCTGGGGACTGGGACGGGGAAGAGTGCAGAACAGGACAATGTAGGCATAAACGAACTAGGGAATGGCAGCCAGCTAGTTCCTGGGGGAGTGGGGAGGGAAAGGGGCATAAAACAATACCAAAGGGCGGGAGCCGGGGTCAACCCGGACGCGCCCACCTGCAGGCGGTTGCTGTGCTCCTGGGCCCTCTGACTCTGCAGCAGCAGCTCCTGGGCCTGGCCCTGCAGACTTCCCAGCTGCCTCTCCAGGTGCTGGAGGTGCCCCTGCAGAGCCACCTTCTCTGCCACCAGTGTCGCGTTCTGCCCCAAAAGGAAAGTTAGCGGTGGCCACAGAGCTGACCCCCCACCCGCACCCTAAGACCCACACTCACGCTGCGCTCCACCTCGATGAGCCGCCCACTGTGTGTCCTTGTGATCGGAAGCTCAGCATGCTCCTCCGTCTCCAGACCCCCAGATTCCTGGCGCAGCTGTAAGGCAGCGGGGACGGTCATGCAAGTGGCAGTGGCCACATGGGGATGGCACAGGGACGATCACTGACTCGCTGTGATGGCACTAACTGGGCTCACTGGAAGGTGGCAGAGCCCAGGCCAGACAAGCACAGCAGCCACTTCAAGCAGGGGGTCCATCCACTTGAGGAACGGGGAGACAGGCCCCAAAAAGGCCTCACAGCCGCCTGACCCCCAGTCCGGTGCTGCTTGCCAAGAAGCCAGGGAAGGCCAGGGGCAGCAGCTCTGGACGATGGCTGGCAAGGCCCGGTCCCCGGGCCTGGCCTCACCCGGAACAGCTCCTCTTCCAGCTGCAGGGTCCGGTTCTTGAGCTCCATCAATGCTTCCTCCTTGCTGGTGGCCGCCGCCTGCAGCTCAGCTTCCAGCCGCTGCTCCAGGCCCCGGTACCTGCCAGGAGAGGCCTTGGCACCCAGCCCGTGGCTCTGCCCTTCCCCATGCCCCTGCCGGCCCTCCTATCCCCGGGCGCCACCCCCACCTCTGCTGCTGGTTCTCCTGTTCCTGAAGAAACTCCTGGCGCTCCAGCGCTGCCCGCTCCAGGTCCTGCTGCAGGTGCTCCAGCCGGGCCCCCAGCTCGCGGCCCCGCATCATGGCCTTCTCCAGCTCCTGAGGGCAGGGGAAGGCTCAGGGGGCGGAGGCGCGGGGCCTGACCCAGGGCAGAGGGGGGCCGGGGTGAGGCCTGGGAGCGGGAGGGCTGCTTTCTGCCCTGGCTCTGCCACTCGGGGCAGATGTCCCCAACCCTTTGGGTCTCTGCTCCCCCATCTGTAAAACAGGAGCCAAGTCTGGCGGCCTGTAGGGTGCACGTGAAGGAGCTGGGGGTGGCTCGGGTGGAGAGGGAGACGCGAGCTGCGCCAAGACTTCACCTCTCGCAGCCCGTAGTTCTTTCTCGTGTACACAGGGAGAGGGGCATGTGCCCTGCGCAGCCTCACACCAGCCATGTGAAGGCCACAGGGACTCGGCACAGGCCTGCAGCACACCTTCCACCACAGGGGGATGGCCACAGAGGGCTGGCAGGACGAGAACTTGGGGGTTCCCAGGCCTAACCACAGTGGAGGCCTCAAGGGTGGGTCAGGGCCTGTGATCTTTGGCGGTTGGGCCGCACCATTTCAGGGGGAGAGGGTGGGAGGCCTCTTCTGGCCTGTGGGCCCCAGAGGGATGTCGGCCAAACCATTCTGACACATGGGGGGACAGGCAGGCAAGTCGGGTCACCTGCTACAACCTGCTGCTAGAAACCAACCCTGCAAGCCTCTGCTGCTGGTCCTGGCCTAACAACCCACCCAGGCCCCAGAGGGGGCACCGCACTTCCCTCCATCGGTGGCCATGGCCTCTTTCTTAAAAAAACTACAAGTCCCACAAGGCACTGCTGCCTGGCCAGCCACCAGTGACCTCTAGGGCCCAAGTACTGCTGGCTGGGAGAGAGGGGATGTGAGAAGGCAGAGGCCCATAGCCTCAGCCCCGGCCCCAGCCCGAGAGGCTTCTACACCCATGTGGACAACCCCAGAGGCCCCTGGTCCCCTGCCTTCCCCAGCCAGACGCTCCTCCTGGGCCACACCCAGGTAGCACCAGGAACTGCTCCAACCAGGAAATCACAAAATTCCCTGTGCCCAGCGGCTTCCACCCTCTAGGTCCTCCGAGCCAGCACTCTCAGCCCACCAGGCTTACCCCACCCTCCCTGCCCCACTATGGGCTCCCTCTTCCTCTCCTGATGAAGCACACAGTGGGGACCAGGCCCTACCCCAAGCTCTGGGTCCACTAGAAGATCCTGCATGTCCGGTAAAGTTTTATTCCAGTTTTACAAGTGAAGAAACGAAGGCTCAGAGAGGCAAAGTACCCTGCCCCAAGCCACACAGCTGAAAAGCAGGGATTAGGGGATATAATGCAGTTCCTGTGGCCTGACAGAACCTCTTGGTGACACCCCTCAGAGTCCACTCCAGAGGCAGCCTGTCCACACCCATCCTCCCATTGCCAACACCCCTCAGGGAGCACCCGCCCTGCCTAAGCCCGAACTCCAGTCCACCCAACGGTCACCCAGAAGGATATGAGCAATGAGGCCTCCTCTCTGGATCTCGGGTCCCCGTCTGTGCGGCAGAACTCCCAATTCCTCCCCCGAGCGCCCCCAACGCAGGCACCTATGGGCCCAACCGCCCTCCCATGGCCTTGTGGTGCCCTCTTTCCCTGAACGGCCTCTCAATGGGGACTGACCACTTTGCCCATCTTACTCCTCCAGTGGCTGCCCACTCCCTGGAGGGGAAGATGCCAACTTCTTCCTTAGCTGGGAAAGAACCTGAACCCCAACGTTGCAGCAGGACCCCGCTCAGCCACTCTCCACCTCACCTCTCCACCCCCTTGCCCCCTCCCACAACTGGGCCTGCCCTTCGCCCTCCTCCTCCAGGAAGCCTTCCCGGATGTGGCCCTCCCAAGTCCCGGCTGCGGGCTGGACTCCATGGCTCTGCCACCTGGCATGCAAACATAGCCATGCCAGCTGCCCGGTCACCACTGTGTGCCCACACCTGGTACGGTCTGGCACCACAGAGATGCTGCTAAAACATGTGTAAACGAACAAATGCAACTTTTTCCAGGCCTTCTCTCTCCTCTGTCCCTGTCCCCGTGCCAGCCACCTGCAACCCTGCTACTGCCTCCGGATGGCCCAGACCAACTGAGGTGACCCTCCTCAAACAGAACCCCACACTCTCACCCTTGAGCGGTTTTCCCTGCTGAGGATGGAGTAGCAACACCTTCCAAGCTGACCCCAGGCCCCTGCTCCATTGAGGGCCCCTGAGCATCCTGAAGGCTTTAAAGTCCTGCACCTTTGAAACCTCAGTGATTCAAAGGCTGAGGCAGAGGACCACAAGTTCAAGGATGGACGGAGCAATTTAGCAAGACCCTCTCTCAAAAAAATTAAAAAGGGTTATAACTTAATGGTAGCAATCCCCAGTACCAATAAAATAAAATAAAATAAAAAGTTCTGTCCTTCCCCATCTAATACAATCCATCTTGATGGTTCCTCCCTGAAGATTCTTTTTTTTTTTTTTTGGTACTGGGGACTGAAGCCAGGGATGCTTTGTCACTGAGCCACATCCCCAGCTCTTTTTAGTTTTTATTTTGAGACAGGGCCTTGCTAAGTTTCTGAGGCTGGCCTCAAACTTGCGATCCTCCGGCCTCAGCCTCCTGAGTTACTGGGATAACAGGCGTGCCCACCATGCCCAGCTGAATAACCATTTCTTGGCCACTTTCAACATGCCTTGACCCAGCAGGAACTGGGTCTCTACACCATATCTCAGCCTTTCCAAGATGTGCTGAGACAACAAGGACTAGACCCCCGTTACAGGAGGAGGCACTGGTGTGGAGGTGAGAAAACTGCTGTAGCCCAAGCACAGTGATGGTACCCAGAGACTCACCCCTCCTGCACCCACCCCATCACTGGCACAGCCTCCAACTGTGTCCTGGGAGGAGGACGGGGGTAGACCTGGCCTTTCTGTCTCAGGCCCCAGTTTGGTGCTGGGCACTCAGTGAAATCTATAACCCAAACCCCAGCAACCAGCCTGGAGCCCGTTTTTCTACCCCGGCCGTGAGCCCTGACGGACGTACCTGACTGAGGGCGTGCTTCTCCCGACGCTCCCTCTCCACGTCCTCCAGGTAGCCGCGGCCCTGGCTCTCCAGCACCTGCACCCGCTCTTCAGCAGCCTCAGCCCTGGCCCGCAGCCTGGGTCCCTCGCGCTCCCACTGCCTCCGCTCTCGGCCTATGGCCGCCAGCGCTTCCGCCAGAGCCTCCCGCTCCCTCAAGGCAGCCTCCAGCTCCTGGCCAGATGCCTCCACTGCCTCCCGCAGCCGGGCTTGCTCCTGGGCTTGGGCCTCTGCCTCCCGGTGAGCCTCAGCCTCTGCCCTCCGTGCTTGGGCCAGCTCCTCAGAGATCTGGGCAGCCTCCAAGACTCGGGCCTCCAGCCTTCGGGCCTGGGCCTCCAGCTCAGCCCTAAGGGCCACAACCTCTGTCCTCAGCCGCATCACCTCCTCCCCGAAGGCCTCCTGCTCTGGGGTACTACTGGCCAGGACCTCCCCTGGGATCAGTCCCTCCCAGGGCTGGACATCAGGAGCCCCTTCCAACTTCTGCATTGGTTTTGGAGGAGCCAGTTCCCTGACTGCTCTCTCCAGCCTCTGTTCATGCCCTCCGTCCTCTGTTTGTGGCTTGAACAGGTCCAACCCCTTGCCCAGGGTCTCCTGCTCCTCTAGCGGCACACAGAGGTTGAGCTCTGAGGATCCCCGCTTCTGTTCAGGGCCCTCCTGTTGCAGATCCCGGGCCTCAGCCCCCGACCCGCCCTGGGGAGCCCCTCTCCCCCCAGTCTCTCCCTCCGGCAACTGCTGCGTGTCAAGTTTGATCTCTGGTTCCTGAGGAGGGACCACAGAGATGGGACTCCGGAGACAGACTCCAGGGTCATCCTTCTCCAAGGACCCCCGTGTCTCCACAGTAGGGTCTGATTCTTGGGCAGCCCCGTCGGAGGTCTGGGGGGCCGTGGCAGCCACATGGAGGGGCCGCTCTGTCACTTCTAGGTCTGAATCTGATGCCTGGAGACACTCAGCTGACCCTTTGAAAGCTGAGTCCGATGTCAGGGGAGCCAACTGGGGACCCTGATGCCTGACCTGGCAAACCAAACCCTGGGAGCTGTGGTCTGAGGCCAAGGGAGTCCTGGGAGCTGCATCCAGCACAGGAAGCACAGGGTCCTGGCTCTGCTCCTCCAGCAGGGGGCGCTGAGAGCATATGAGAGAGTCAGCCAGCCCCAAGGAGGACAGGGTGGGGCCAGCTAGGACGGTGGGGGGGACTCACCTGGCCACCTAGCTGTCCCTGCAGCACGTGAAGCAAGCCTCGAAGCTCCTGATTCTCCCTCTGGAGGGTCCGCAGCTGACCAGCCTCAACCTCCCTCATCTCATCTTGCAGGGAAGGGGCAGCTCCTTGCAGGGGTGCTGGGAGGGTGGGGCAAAGTCAGGACTCCACCCACATTCCCCAGCTGCTCACACAAACCCCATAAAGACCTGGAGGAAAGAGGGGGATAAAGGCAGAACCCCTCCCATTACAGCTGCAGAAAACACAGGCAGCCCCCCCATCCCTCACTTCGTGGCACCCCTCACCTTCCACAGGGGATTCGGGGATTGGTTCCAGCTTCCTCTGAAGCTCCAGCTCCAGTTCCACATTCGCCTCTGCCAGCTGGTCCACCTGATGTCGCAAGGAGTCCACCTCCTAGGGGTGGAGGGGGCAGAGTCAGACCAGTCTCCCCCACCATGGACAGACCAAGTGTGGGGGCTGCAGCCTTGCTAGAGGGTGCACCAAGAGTAGGGGTCACAGGGAGAAGAGCAACAGGTCAACCCAGCAGGGATCATTCAGGCAACCTCACCGACAGGGCCTCGCCCAGCCGGGTGTGCAGCAGCAGATTCTCCCGTTGGGTGTGGTGCAACCGGGCACAGCGGTCTTTGGCGGCCTCCAGGTGTTCTTCCAGCAGAACCTTGGAAGCCTCCAGGGCCCCTGAGAGCACCCGTGCCTCCTGGTAGGGGACACAGAAGTCAATGGTGGGATGCAGCCCCATGCACTCGGGACCTGGAGGATCCCAACCCCTTTCCCCTGGGCTCACCATAGACCCTGGGACCCTCCCTTGCCTCGCGTCCCTGTCGGTCCAACTCCCTCCAAGGTCTCCCCAGGCACCGTTCCCAAGCACACGGCCAGGCCCATTGGTGCAGGCCCAGTAACTTGCCCCTAGAACCGCCATTCAGCATCTTTCCGGGTGCTACTCTTCAGTTCCCCCAACTCGCCAGGGTCTCATTCCAGACCCACCCCCCTACCCCTGTCCCCACCTTCGTCTCAGGACCTCCTACCCTTACACAGCCCCCATCTCTCCCCTCCGTGGGCTCATTTTCAAGAGGGCTTGCCCCAGACCACCCGCTGCGGGTGTCCTCACCCACCGCCCCTCGCTGTAATGGTCACACACCCCCAATCGCAATAAAGCCCGCCCCTCTGCCCCCCCCCCCGGCCCAATCTCGCCCCGCCCCCAGACTCCGCCCCCGGCGGGCCCCGCCCCGCTCCTCACCTCCAACTGGCCCCTGCAGGCCTCGGCCGCCCGCAACCGTTCCCGGCAGCACCGCAGCTCCTCCTGCAGGCGGGGCAGGCGGGCCACCCGCTCCCGCAGCGCCTCTGCCTCCTCGCGATACAGCTCGGCCCGCTTGGCCTGTCCCGACAGCGCCTGGGCCTGGGCCAGACGGTGCGGAGCTGGGACCAGCCAGGCGCGGACCAGAGAGAGGGACTAGGGACGTGAATGAGCGGGGCTGGAGAGGCCATGGGACTGGACTGGAGGGGAGCCTGGGAGCGCACCTCCTGGCGGAGCCTTCGAATTTCGGCCTCCAAGCCCTGCACCTCCTCCTGGGAGTCTAGCAGCACTTCGGCCTTCTCCTCCCTGAAAGCATGGGGCGATGGAGGGCATCTGAGAACCGCAACGCCCAGCCAGCCGGTCCCCAGCCCCGGCCCCTCCCATCCCCAGCGGAGCTGCGACCCCATCCAGGCCTCAGCGGGCCCCCTCCTCTCTGGTCCCTCCCCAGCCCGCCGGCACGCACAGCTCTTGCCGCAGGCGCCGCAGCTGGGCCTTGGCGTTGGCCAGTTGCAGCGCCAGATGGTGCGAGGAACCCTCCACAGGAGCCTTTGTAGGAGCTTCAGGCAGCAAGGGGGCCCGCTCCCGCTCCAGCAGCAGTTCTGCCAGCCTCTGTAGGAGGTCAAGGGTTAAGGGTCAGGAATAACCATCCCATGCCTCCCCACATCTGTTCCCAGCCACCACCACAAGATGAGTCCAGGTGTGACACTGTAATAACCAAGGACCCCAGGCCCTACCCCCAAACCTGGGCCCCAAAACCCACTCCCCTTACACAGCTGTGTCCACGGAGCTCCTACTGCCCCCTACCTGGGCCCCCAGGTCACGCTCCCGGGCCAGCCTGGACAGCGCCCCCATCAGGCTCCGGGACAGCATCTCCAACTCCGAAGGCGCCAGCTCCCCAGGCTCAGGCCCAGACAGCGCAAGCACTACACCGGCCCCAGGTTGGGTCACCTAGGGGCGCATAGAGGGTGGTTCAGCAGAAGAAGGAGGGTGGCGAGGATGTCCCGGGTGTCAGTCCCAGCCTGTCGACCTGCCCCGGTACCTCCTGGATGGCGGCGGCCAGCTCGCTCTGGACCTCGAGGCTGAGGCCCTGGATGTGGCGGATGAAGAGCTCCCGGTGGTCACACTGCGCAGACAAGGCAGCGGGTGGGCGCTGCAGGGTCTCCCTCCTCGGCGCCAAAGCTCCACCCGCCCTCCCGCCCCTCCTCACCTGCACGGACGCCCCCAACAACAGCCGAAGGAGGCCTTGCAGCTCCTCCACCGCCGCCTCTGCAGGGCACAAGGGACCAGGATTAGGGGAGGGGGTGCAGAGTGGAGGTAGAGGCAGGGGGCATGGGGGGAGAGAGCACCTGAGAAGGGGTCAAACCCCAATGTCTGGAGGTCTGGGGGTGGCGACAGGATCAGCAGCTGCAGCTCCTCCTGGAGTGGGGACAGGGATATGAGAGGCGCCTTCCCACAGGGCACCCCCCTCCCGGCTCCGCCTTCCTTTCCGACCCCTCACCTGGTAGAAGTCCCTCAGTCGGACCCACAGGTGGTTCAGGTTCCAGACTCTCCAGGCCGCGGGTCCTTCGTGGCCCCTGACCATTCGAGGTCCCCCTCGGGAACTGGGGGAACTGTGGACACAGGTGGCAATGCCGGGAGGTGGGAGAGCGGGGAGGTGGGCTTAGGGACCCACCTTCCCAGGAGCAGGCTCCACCTATCATCCTCAGGGTCCTCCCACCAGGCCAGCCGGCCCCCTCCCTGCAGATCCCTTGGCGGCTGCCACCAGTCCCTGATGGCCCTTACATGATGCCCAGCACCCGGAGGAGCAGAGCCCCATCGCTGAGCCGCAGGAACCTCTTCTCTGGGCAAAGGGACCCTCTTTCCTCCTCCTCCTCCTCCTCCTCCTCTGCCTCCTCCCGGACTGGCTCCTCCACCTCCCCCACCAGCCCTGCTAGTCCCAGGGCCTGTGGGGAACAGAGGAGTCAGAAGGACTGGCAGGAGACCCCCAGCAGCAGAGTGAATCCTGGACCCCTCTAACCTGCCCCCAAAGAGCCCCAGGACCCCCCCTCCTCGATGTTCTATCCTCCCAACCCTCCTTCAGCGAGTTTTAGACCCGGTTCCAGTGACCGCCCCCTGGACTTCACTCGACCGCAGCCACACGCCTGGGTGCAGCCCCGGTGCCTGCTGGCGGCTCTCACTTCCCCTCCCCAGCCCCGCTCCCACCTGCCCCTCACCCAGGTGGCCAGACTCCCATTCAGGAAGTCTCTGAGTCTGGGCCCCTTGCCCCCCTCCATGGCGGGGTCAGGGAGCCCTCCTGCTGTGGCAGCTACACCTGCCCTGAGAGGAAGAGGAAGTCCCCGTCGACGAGGGGATCCCAGGCCCGGCCACAGACACCCTGTGCAGCTTCCTCCTTCCGGGTTCAGACAGCCAGGAGCCCCTGGAGTCCTGCTATAGTTCCCCCCACACGGCACAGGCCACTAGCCTCCTCCCAGCGACTCAGCCAGGGCTGACCCCAAGGTTAGCCAGGGGAAGGTCCACAGTGCTCCTGGCTCCTGGCCGGTGATGGCGTCCTCTGCATCTCTGGGCCTAATTTCTCCAGAGAGGTAACCTTAGTCCGGCACCCTCCAGGGTCATAAAGGGACTCTGGGCTTTGCCTTGGTGTCCTCTGATATGCCAAGACTCGTTCACTAGGACCTGCTTCTTCCCCTGCTGATGTTCCTCAACTTCACCCAGATCATCTGGCAAATGCTACAGCCTGGTTCAGACCCCATCCCTCCCAAAAGAGCCTCCTCTGAACTCCGGATGGGAGTGGGCACCTCTTTTCTTGACCCTGCCCCACCCCCATGCTGTATACACACTGGACTGAGACAGAGCTGTGGCAAATGACCGCCACCGGCCAGGCCTGTTTCCCATCTAGAAAGCAAGCAGGTTGGACAGGCCACACCGCACTGGGATCAGTGGCACGTGTCTTCGAGATAAAGAGGCTAAGAGGACATTCCAGTTCCCCCACTGCTCACTGTGTGGCCTCTGGTCATTCTTCCCCTCCCCCTCTCCATGCTGGACACTGTGCTGGCTGCTGGGATGCAAGGAGCCACCCAGTCCCAGTTCCAGGGGATGAACAGGACAATGGGGACCCAGCTGCCACTCAAAAAAGTAACACTGCAGCCATACTAGGGGCTTTGAAGCAGAGTGGACATGACCCTGGTGGTGTGGTCGGGGAAGGCATCCCAGGAGAGGCTGAGATTGGCATAACTGGGTGGAGTGGGCAAAGTGGTGGGGAGGAAGGGGATTCCAGCAGCTGGAACACAGTGGACCAGGACTGTGAGGCAGCCGGGAGGCGGGGCCACTGGGAGGGTCAAAATCACCGCGTCCTGTGGACTCCAAGACCCTCTGCTCTTCCCAGGTGATGGCTCTGAAGTCTGGTACGGTGGCTGGCTGACTGGCCGCTGTCCTGAAGCTGCTGTCATTAACGGCACATGCCCACACTTCCAAAACCCCACAGGAAATGCTGGAGAGCAGGTGTCAGCAGCTTGAAGAGACCCCCAGAGGCTCTGTGCTGCCTGATCCCGGCATCCAAATGGGGGGAGCAGGCAGGGGAAGGGCCGGCTCCGGGCAGCCCAGGCAAAAGTGTGTAGGATTGTAAAGCTGGCTGCGGGTCCCTGGCCACCTGCGGGTGTTTGCTGGGTTGTCTGAAGGAGGGCTGTTCCCTCCAGAGGAGGAGGTGGCCTGGAAACGCACCAGCACAATGACTCTCCTGCCAGAAGTGATTTGCAGAGCTGCACTCTCAATGCCAAGCCACAGGGAACACAGTAGTAACCCATTTATTTTAATTCTGTTATCCTTTTTATGTGTGCATCATTATTATATATGATGAGAATGTACACCGAAGTCAAACAGAGATCTTACGGGAAATATAAAATAAAAATTCAAGTGATGAAAGAGAGGTGACTCGGTTAACTGGCAGCATCCTTTTTTTCATCGGTGACATATTTTACAATTGATGACACCTTAGAGTTGGTAAAATATGGGGTGATTATAATAGTAACTATATCAAGCACAGGCCTACCACAAGCCAGACATGATTATAATTATTTACACTCATTAATTTATTTGCTCTGGAGTAGTCTCTGAAATGAGGACTTCAGGTTATTTCCACTTTACAGAGGAAGACACCAAGGCACAGAGAGGTTAAGAAACTTGCCTAAGGACACACTGCTATTAAGTGGCAGAACCAGCTGAGAGGAGATTGTGGGGCCAGGGTGCAAAGAGTAAGGGGCACAGTGGCCCAGGTGACCTGGGTAGACCAGGCAACAGGAGTTCACCCATTAGAAGAGAAGCACCTCTGGTGAACCTTGTATGTGAACCTGGAAATGGGGATAAACTTGTACCCAGGACAACCATCCATTAAATGGTCCCTGATTGGTCATTACCATTAGGTTTGGGGAGTTTTTAAAATTTATTTTAAGTTGTTGACGGACACAATACCACAATACCTTTATTTTATTTATTTTTATGTGGTGCTGAGGATCAAACCCAGGGCCTCACACCTGCTAGGCAAGTGCTCTACCACTGAGCCTCAGCCCCAGCCCAGGGAGTTTGGTTTGGTTGGTTCTGGGAATTGAAATCTGAGGTGCTTTACCATTGAGCCACATTTCCAGTGCTTTCTATTTTTTTATTTTGAGACAAGGTCTCGCTGAGTTACTTAGGGCCTCGCTAAGTTGTTGAGGCTGGCCCCCAAGTTGACATCCTCCTGCCTCAGCCTCGCCAGCCACTGGGATTACAGGCGTCCAGCCAGATTTGACCCTCTGTGAATCTCATTCCAATTTGCACCCCCCAAGGGCTCCCCCCCCAGGAATCCCTTAGGAGCTCCCTTGCTGTGTCAGCCCAGCAGGTCTCCAGGGCCACCAGGTGAGAGGACTGGGGCTTTCCTCCTGCGGCAGAGGGAGGCTCCCTGCCTTGCTCAGTCTCTCTGAGTCATGAGCCTCAGAGGCAGGGCCCTGGCGCAGATGACTCTCTCCTCCGCCCCTCCGCCCCCTCCACCCCTCCACACCAGCCCGGCTGCATCTCTGACTTGGCTGACTCAGGCAGCGGGCAGCTGAGGGGAGAGGGGGAAGCTGGGGGTGCCCTGGTCAGCTCGTACTGGGATCCTGGGATTCTCTGAGCTTCAGTTACCTGTTGGCCGCTCAGAGGTTCCCGACTTGGGCCAGATTTTTCCTTCAAACATTTTCAGATAAGTGCACTTGATCAAAACATGTTAAGTTGACCAGACATGGTGGTGCACACCTGTAATCCCAGTGACTCAGGAGGCTGAGGCAGGAGGATTGCAAGTTTGAGACCAGCCTCAGCAACTTAGTGAGATCCTATCTCAAAAGGAAAAAAAGAAAGAAAGAAAGAAAGAAAGAAAGAAAGAAAGAAAGA